CACAGCTCCCTCCCACTGGTGCAGGTCCCGTCCCGATTCTTTTGCCCTACCCAGGTACGTGGGGAGTTTCTTGCCTTTTGGGAGGTCTGAGGTCTTCTGCCAGCATTCAGTAGGTGTTCTGTAGGAGTTGCTCCACATGTAGATGTATTTCTGGTGTATCTGTGGAGGGGAAGGTGATCTCCACGTCTTACTCTTCCGCCATCTTCCCCTCCGCCCTCTGTAAGTGTCGTAAACTTTTTATTGAAGTATAGCACCATTCAGAAAGGACACAGATCCTGGCATACAACTCAGTGACTTTTCACAAGGTGGATACACTTGTGAAACCAGCACCCAGGTCCTGCACTGGGATATTCCTGACTTTCCAGAAGCCCCCTGTGGCCCCTTTTGGTCACTAAGCGCCCCCCTCCACAAAGGCAACAGCTGTCCTGACATCTAACACTACAGGTGGGTTTTGCCCCTGAGAAGCCAAGCTCATCTCTCCCACCAGAACCAGCCAGCCTCTGTCCTTCCAGAGAATTCGGCTTTGCCAGCTCACGGCTCGCACATCAGCCTCCTTACCATCCGAACCTCCTCAGCAGGAGGCCTCAAGCGAGCATGTGTGTGGACGTCCCAGGAACACGCCCGGGGGTCTCTGATCTCCCCTGGACCCGAGTTATCTGGACGGAATGGGGTTCTCCCGACTGCTGGGAATTCTGCACACTGGGCGTCACTTTCTTAAGAGCAGTGCTTGGGTGTGTTCCTTGTAGAAACTGTCGTGCTGACACTTCGTTACAATCCAGATTTCCCACGCTCTTGGCTTGATTTTTCTGGTGAGATTGGAAAGGTTACGAGTAGCACATGGTCACCCTGCTGGTAGTTAAAAAATCAGAAGCACTGTAAACAAAAAGGAAATGAGAAATGACACAGGCCACAAACATTTCTGATCTCAGCTCCATAAAATCTCATCATGATTATATTCCCCTTTGGTCTTGCAAGAGGAAAGCAAGGCCACCATCTTCTTCAGGTACCTCATGCTAGTGTTTAATTACCTGCAAAGCCAAAAAGATTCATTTATCTAATTCAAGTCTATCGATGCAATTGGAAGTCTTTGCCCTCTGGGTGAGTTCTCTTTTTAATAAATCAGGGTAAAACAGACATAATATTTACCATCTCAACCATTCTTACGTGTCCAGGTCAACAGCGGTAAGTACATTTACGGTGCTGAGCAGTCACTCTTCAGAACTCTTTCCATCTGGAAAAACTAAAACTCTGTCCCCATCAAATACGAACTCCTCGTCCCCCCACCCCCAGGCCCTGGCGATCACTATCTTACTTTCCGTCTCTGTGGATTCGACTCCTCTAGAGACCTCATACAAGTGGAATCACACAATCTGTGTCCTTCTGTGTCTGGCTTACTTCACTCAGCATAAAGTTCTCAAGGTTCATCCACGTTGCAGCAGGTGTCAGAATCCTGTTCCTTTTTTAGGGCTGAATACTACTCCACTGCATGGAGAGATCACATTTGCCTGCCCATCCAGCCCTCTATGAATATTTGTGTTGCTTCTACTTTTTGGCTATGGAGAATTCCTTTTGTTCTTTGGGGACAAAGAACAAATGTGTGGGACACATCTGGTAATAATCCTTCATTTGCTTGTAAAACTCCTTCTTCTCCTTGTCATCTTCAGGAGAAAACAAGTAAGCGTCTCTAATTTTTCTTTATTATTCTAGTTTCTACCCATTTCTCCTCTCCTATACTTACTATAAATGTCTCCAAATTCTTTTCACTATGGAGAAGTGAATGGAATAGCCAATACTGTTTGCCTGGAAATTAAGGCGTCCTAGGACCTCCCCTTGCCATTGTTCAGTGGAATTTCTCACCCTCCGCCCCAGCTTGTCCTTAGACAAACCTCAAATGTCTTCTCATTGCGTACACCTTTCTGCTCCCCTCGCGCGTGCCTGGTGTTTCTGCAAAGCTCTCATCGTACTGGGATGGCTCTTTCATCGCCCATCCCAGGCCGAGCCCTTGCACAGAGCAGAGTCACAGTACATGCCTCACTCTGGTAAGGAAGGAAGATTTCTAAGTTTGCCTAAACACCTCGAAATACGATATTCCAAAGTACATGTGCATTTTGTTTTATGTGATAGAGGATCTCCTTTCTGAACGTTAAAATTCAAATTGCAGTAAGAAAATGAATGTAGAATTTAAAAGGGAGACTGCTCTTTAAAGAATTCTGTTGTGAATCCTTTTACCAAACAACTGTGCTCTACAATGTAAGCCTCATTGAGGATTTACTTACACTTGCACGTCTTTGTTTTTGAGGAAAGTAGACTGCAGAGAGTTCATAGTTAACCCGACTCCCCATCCCAATGGGGATGCTAAACCCGTCAGCTTTCCTCATCCTGTAGATGACAGTAATTAATGTGTTTTTCCTCTGAAATCCTATTTTAGCTGCTTCCTCTTCAAACTCCTCCTATTTTGGATAGCTCTTTTTCCTACCCTACTGAGATAATTTAAAATATGGTTTCTTTTTTCAGAAATATTGGTAATAGTTCCTCTGGAATGGCACATTCTGCAGCTTTCATCTCTGCTGAAAGGCTACTGGGGAGTCTGTGCTTTTCCCCAGGGCCAGAGGGCAGGAAGGCTGAGATTACCAACCAGTAGCTCCCACGTGAAGTATGTTATCTCTATTTTACTGGCCGAAATATGAGGTCGAGTGGTTAAAAGTCAGAGATGATAGGGAAGGAGGCAAGAATGCTGACTTTAAAAAAAATCACCAGATACTCCTTCTTGTAGTTTCAGTGATGCCTGATGTTTGCTTCTACAGTCCAAAACTTTTTCACACCTTTGAGCCAATTTTCTTCACTGAGATAGTCCAACAGTTTCTGGATAGATCTCCTGGCTCATCTTATAAAAGTGTAACTAAACTTCCAAAGTAGGTTGGTCTAGCCTATTTCTCAATTCCATGAAGGGAATATATATATATAGCGCGTATGTATATGTATATACAGTGGTGAAATCTGTGAATTCATGTCACGCAGTGGCTCCAGCATTGCGTCGGCAGTAAAGACAGTCTGTGTCTCCCTTGTGTCAACAGTGACCTCCCTGGTCTTTGCTTTATCCTACCCAGACCTTCAGGCATTTTTAAGAAATGGGGAATGGGCACACATTAAAAGTTCTTTTGAAAAAGGAATTGCAGATTTTTAAAACAACAAAGAAAAAAGCAACAGAAATGAGATATCTAATTATCATTTCCCCCTCCAAAAAAAAGTAAAGATAACTTGACTGAAATATCAAAGAAGGCAAAAGTGTGAGAAAACGTGCGTCATTAAACTAACACAGCACCAGTGGCTTATGGCCACAACTGTTGAGGAATCTGTGCCGGGCGTAATGCAGATGGGCACCAGACTGTTTATGAACCAGTTGATATTATGTCTGAGATAGATAAACTTCAAAATAATTCATTTAGAAAAATATTAATTGCCAAAATTGACACAAGATGAGGCAGAGTATTACAAAAAACAATAACCACAGAAGAAACTGAAAAGATACTTGAAGATTCTAATCCCTTTCTTACCCTCTACCCCAAAAGTACCACCAGTATCAGGTGGCTTTGTAGATGACCCATCAAATTTTGAAGGAACAGAAAATTATTTTGCTGTTGAAACTTCTTTAGGATATAGAAGAATATGAAACATTTCTCATGTTATTTGTGGAATAATTCATGTTCTCAGAATTGATTAAGCTATTGATCAAAAGAAAAACTACAGGAACATCTCATTAATGCATATGGATGACAAATCCAAAGCAAAATAATGATGAATCAAGTCTAGGACTATATTGAAAGAATAATATACCATGATCAAATAGGGTTTACTCCAGGAATAAAAGTGAATCTAATATTAGGGTACTTACCAGTTTGGATCAGTGGATCAAAGGACAAAATACATTTTGTCATTGCAGTAAATCTCCCAAATACACTTATCTAATATTGACTTGGACAATGTCTATTTCTTATAAAACTTGGAATTAGCAAGACGGTGCCTTAAAATTAGAAAAAATATATATATGTATTTCATATATATAATAAATAGTGGCTTTAATGGCAGTACACTTTTGGAAGGATAAATAGGTTTTACCTCTCCTACTCACAGTTTTGGACTGGCTTCGAGACCCATCACTTCTCAGCAGGAACGCATGCTTGAACTAGGTAGCAATCTCCGCTCCATCAAGACTCCAACAGGATTTCTTTTTTCCACAGGACAAAGTGATTCTAACATTCATCTGGAAGAATAAACAGACAAGAATCATTAAGAACGTTTTGAACAACAGAGTCAGAATTTACTTTGATAGACATGAAAATATACCATAATGTGATAACTGGGCCAATGGAAAGAGGAACCAAGATACTCAGACTACTGGAAGGATGGCATTTGAAATTATTAGATAAAAGATGGATTATTTCATGTCTTGTTACAGGAAAATTCAGGAATTATAAAGAGAAGTATTTTGTGTACTATGCAATGGTATTATGTTGACTGTAACTGCTTTGTTAGAAAACTACAGAAAGGGCTCAGGGTATTTTAACACCATCCCATAGTCATACAATTGTGTTTATTACACTATCCTAATTCACCTAAAGAATTAGATCAAGGTTATTTTCTTACAGCCTTGTGGGTTGATAATTATAAAAAATAAAAATTACACAGCGCGTGTTCTATGCCCGGCACTTTTCTAAGCTGTTGAGGTATATGAATACGTTTAATCATCACAACAACCGTAGGAGATCAGTAGTGTTATTATTTCCCATTAAGTACATCCGCGAGGAGCCAGGGGTGCACAGCCTTGCGTCTGTGCGACTTCTCCGCGATCACGGTCACACATCTAGTAAGCGGAGCAGTTAGTACCTCAACTCAGGCTCCGGGTCTGTAAGACCCTCCCTCTGCTGGGAAGGAGCTCGCGGTGGCAATCAGGGGAAGGCGCTCAGTTTTCAGGCCCTAACGTGCCTTTCTGCTCCGCTCAGGGACCTGATGCCGAGGACCCTGGAGGGGCAGATCACCATGGAGAAGACGCCCAGCTACTTCGTGACGCGCGAGGCGCCCGCGCGCATCTCGGCCATGTCCAAGGACACCAAGCTCCTGGTGGTGGTGCGGGACCCGGTGACCAGGGCCGTCTCGGACTACACGCAGACGCTGTCCAAGCGGCCCGACATCCCCAGCTTCGAGAGCCTGGCCTTCAGGAACCGGACGGCGGGCCTCGTGGACCGGGCGTGGAGCGCCATCCAGATCGGCCTGTACGCCGAGCACCTGGAGCGCTGGCTGCGCCACTTCCCCGCCCGCCAGCTGCTCTTCGTGAGCGGCGAGCGGCTGGTGCGCGACCCGGCCGGCGAGCTGGGCCGCGTGCAGGACTTCCTGGGCCTCAAGCGCATCATCTCCGACAAGCACTTCTACTTCAACCAGACCAAGGGCTTCCCCTGCCTCAAGAAGGCCGAGGGCAGCGGCCGCCCTCACTGCCTGGGCAAGACCAAGGGCAGACCCCACCCCGAGATCGACGGCCAGGTCCTGCGGCGGCTGCGCGACTTCTACCGGCCCTTCAACCGCAAGTTCTACCAGATGACGGGCCACGACTTCGGCTGGGACGGATAACCTTATAACTTAAAAAGAAAAAAAAAATATCAGAAGATAATATATTTTTTTACCAATCGGTAGAGAAGAGGCAGTTTAATATTTGTGCTGCTGATATTTCAGTATTTTTTTCCCATGAATGTTGTTAAAGAGATTGTTCTCGAGATTGTTCTCGCCTCCGCCCTCACCGTCATGTACAACTGTGCGCGCAAACATCTGGAGAAACAAAAAAGGAAACGTGCACGCATCTAACTAAATTCTCTCCATTTTCACTTCATGTTTTATAGGCACAGTTATGAAGTATGAGCATCAGCTGCCGTGAAAACTTTTAAGAAACTCCTGAGGGTATATAGCTCGTGCTCTCTCTCCTTTTTTAACAAAGCCCGGATAAGATTGATGTCTACCCTTATGTTTTTCTCCCTTTAGTTTTTCTCCTGTGCCACTTTTTCTTAACCCCTTTCCCAGTTAGTGATTCTGTATGTTTGCACATCACTTCCCAGTTACCACAGTGCTTTCAAATACAGTATCTTTCTTGATCCTTATACTCAGATGTGATATAATAACATAATACATGGAGATTATTACCCCCGTTTTACAGATAAGGAAACTGAGTCTCAGGGAGCTTAAGTGATGTGTCCTAAGGCCAGATGGCGGACTATGGACAAAACCTTACCTTCCACTTGTTCCCTATTTTGTGCCACTTTTTCCAGTGAGAATGGGAAAGGCACAGACAGCCTTTAGAAATGCTTAGCTAGTTTGGGGACCAACAGAGAGGGTTTCCTGTTGCTTTCTAAGTTCTAGGCTAGCCTCTATGGCACTCAGACACCTTACACAGTTGTACTCAAGGAAACCACTCTGTCTTGGACACAACATCTTTTAAGAGCCAATCTTGGGTTGTTAAAGCACCCTAAGACATGGATATCTCGACTCAATTGAAGTTGAGAGAAATTATTGGATCCTTGTATGGAGAACAAGATGGCCAGTCACACTAGGAGTACAAGGTGTGGTAGGAGAAGAATTTACCTATTCTTGTTTTGACTGTATTTTCCTTTTTTTCTTAAAGAAAAACCCACTTCAGTAAGAGCTTACAAATATGAATCTCATTTTACAAACCTCTTTTTTAACAAAGAAAATCTGCCTCTCTTTGTAGTATCTTATTTCTAAACTTGCAGCTAGTACTAAAAAAAGGTCAATCAACATCTCATTTACAAGGCCCCAATTTTTCATGCGTGGAGGGAGGGCTGTCACTTTGTCACTTTATTTTTCCCCATTTCCTCTTTGTACCAGTTATAACCTCATATTCGTTAATATTTGGAAAACAAGAAGTGCAGATATGGGTAAAGTGGTGATTTTTCCTCTTCTCCCATCTGTTTCTGCCTGTTCCCCATTTAGATAGCTCAAATAAATCAATAGTTTATTAAGAGTATTCCTCTCCTCTCTGAGTGGGCATTAACGAGATTAGCATTAATGGGAATTAAATTGGTTTAGAGAAGAGCACATATGCACAAACTATATAAAACATTCATAATTAGTCTGTCAGCAACATTTTTATTACAGGTTTAAACCCGAGGAAAATGTCTCCAATCTCATGGAAATTTTCCATAATGTAAAGGACCAGACACTCCAGTATTCTAAAAGAATATTCTTCTCCAGTGTTGTCAATCAAAAGAAACTAAAGTTGTTTTAAAATATGCAGTTTCATTGTGCATTTGACATAGATGCTGCATCGGGTGAAGTAAATATTTCTTGAGACGTCTAACACGGGATTAAAATGAAGGAAAAAAGTTTAAGTTTCTAGCTATTCTATCATTGCTCTAAATCTCTGGATTTATTAATTCTCTTTTACAGGGGTTAAGTAAACCCCCAATCCAGGTCCCCTTTCCCAGCCGACAGCCTTCCCTTCTAGGCCCTCAGTTTCCTGATGCTACAGCCTGTTTTTTGGTTCTACTTGAATCATCACTACCAGCAACAAGAAACGCATTTTAAACTCTTTTCGTCTTTTCTCTTAACTCACGTTTGTGCTTCTGACTCCCTAATAAGCATGTGCCGGACCTTCTGCGAAGGTGGCTTTTGCACAGGGACACAAGTGCATCTAACAACTGTATTCAGCAACCTTCATCTTTTTGTGTATTAAGAAATAATAAAAGAACAGAATTGAGTGCAAAGAACCTCTTCTTGCATGTAGATTTTTTGTTTGGTCATATGATTTTTAAAATGAATGACTACAGAGCATTCCAGGAAAGCCTTCTAACTTCTAAGATTTCATAAGAGTGGTAGAGGTTTTAGATCCCAGCCAAGTGTATAAAGATCTTGGGTCAGTGCTACCTCAGAACAGGAATTTTCCATTTCTGCCTTTATGTGGTACTTCCTCTTGTTGTACACGGACTTGGCCTCGGATTTCGTTCGTCCATTTGGCTACATCAGATCATAGGCTGTGCTCTTGATTTGAACATTGTAATCATCCTTCCTCCAAGCTCACCCCTCTTAGAGAACAACCAGAGGTCTACAGCTTCATTCTGAATCGTCTGCTTCTGAGGCCACACCTATAGTGTATCAATTCTTCCAGTAACTAAGAAATTTTAAGGGAAATTAATTTTGTCCTATTAACTACAGATTAATAAGCTTCTAGAGAACAGATATTTATTATTCCAGAAGTATTAATCCCACTCTAATTTTCTTGTTTTCAAAAATCCTCAAAGTTAGAATAAACCTGAATGGTAATGCGGATTAAATCCCCATTTGGCACTTGAGTCCTTTCTTTAGCTGGTTATGCAGGGGTTTAAAACATTGATGTGTCTCTAAATTAACTCTTGATTTTACAGTTGTAAAGAGGATACGTTTCTTCTAAACACCTGCATCCTGTTCTGTCAGCTGAGACCTGCCAAATCTGTTACCCATGAAGATAACCAACATTTAATATGTGAATAAATGTGTCTATAAAGCGATAATAGCTTATATTAATGTAGCAGATTACCCTAAGTACATCTTCTCCCCTTAAACCAACACCTACTCTCCACTTACATTCCACCGTACAGATCAAAAACTAACACTTAAGACAGTGGCTCTCAACGAAAAGCAGTTTTTCATTCCAAGTGATGTCTGGAGATATTTGGGGGTCCCAAGCATGGTGGATTATAGATGCCATCTAATAATGTACATGAGAGCCTTCATAACAAAGTATTATCACACCCAAAATGTGTGATAATTCTTTGTTATCACACATAGACATCAGCACCTCAGTGGTGCTGAGGTTTCCAGTTGACGAAGAAGTACACCAGTTACAGCTAGTCTGTGTCCAAACCAGACTTTAATTAAGGTTTGGCTAGTAATTCTTTCACTCACCGCTCTAGGTTTTCTCTTGAAAACCTTTCCTTCTCTAACTCTGTAAGTGACTCCACTATAGTAACTAGATCAGTGTTTAAGGGTGTGCTTTGTCAAGAGAAGTACTAAAGAGAAGCATCGCTGAGCTGGGCTTTTTACAACTGAGATACAGGAGCAGCTTGTAACAAATGGATCACTGCATTTCTGGGAAGTGGAATCAGTCAGCTTCGGGTGGAAAAATGTCATTCTGATAAAACATTTCTGAAGTCTTTTTCAAGTTCAAGTCTTGCAGCTTCAGTTTGCCTCCATGAGAGTGCCATGACAGTATTTCTTGTCACCTGACACAACCAAGTGTCGAGAAATAGAAGTAAATGGCTCGACTTCTGTAAACCAGCTAAATCCAGATAGATGTGCTATGGTTTACAATTGGCCCTGAATAGCACAATAGATGTGCTATTGGTTTACAAAGGAAGATGAATTCTTACTGCCACATTTTCTAGAAACCCCAGGTCTTTGTATGGGCCCACCATAGAATCAAGGAAGAGACAATCGTATGGTTCCCCAAATTAAGAAAATATGGCTCACTGTCCAGTGAAAGTCTTAGTGTAGAAATAAAACACCCACCTGTTCTCCTATTGCATCCTGTAATCACTGAGGAAGAAGGGGACTTTAAAAACCCAAACATCAAGAAACATCAGCGCTACTGTAGAATTTATGGTCTTTGAAATATCTTCGTCGACGTGAAGACAGATTTGCATTCAGAGCCTCAATTATATGGTGAAAACCATGGACAGGGAAAGTACAGACCTGTTTGTCACATCATGAAATTGTGGAATGGCAGGTCTTTCGTTTAAAGCTTAAAGAAATGAATTTTGGAAAATTACAAGGCAGTGCAACCTCAAATACAGAGTAACAAAATAATGGATTTTCGTTACGTCAGGAGGAAACAAAACTGAAAATAGAAATTGCTTCTAATATATGAATCCATCGTGGGACATTTAGAATATTTAGTTAGTATGTTTCAGGCTATAACCCTAATTATCTAGTTAAATTTCCAACAGTTGGTTGTGTTCTTTTAATAGCTATAGGCTCAACATCTTAATTCTCCTCTAATTTTACTGTCAAAATAAAAAGTAACAATACAGAGGGATCATACATTCTGTTGTGAGTCCTTTTCATCCCCCAGTTCCTGGGTCTGATATTTTAGGTATATTCGAAGGATCACATGTGATGAGAAATGGCATCCTTCGTTAGCTCCTCCTGGCTGGTACATGATGAGGCCAGATTCCTAGGCTGGCGCTAACTGATAACTCCTCAGGGGCATTCGGGTTACTGTCTGGTCTAGACGTTGTCCAACTATGGTCCACGTCCCCAAAGTCACTTTATAGTAATCATAAAGTGTTTACCATCCTTGGGGGCTTGTTTTCATCACAAAGAGAAGTGATGTGCCTTTTCCCCTCCTACCTCCTAGACCCCCGCTTCCTTCACTTCTCAAGTATCTTCTCCCCCCCATCCTGCCTGTGTCCACTGCTCCCTTGTGTCCTTACGGGCTTAACCCTACTGGTCTAAGTTCTGCCCTCTCATCAGAAGCACCATACTTGATGTGTCCACTTCACGCTTCAGATTCGTGGGGAAAACCTTGTGGTCCACCTGGGGCAACTGCTCTGAGCTTTAGCTCTATGGAAAGTAGTCTGTTTATCTGATGTAGACACCCAGACAGATGCA